TTTTTTTTAAGAGAGTGTCTTTCTCACTATGTAGCCCTGGCTGGCCTGGAACTCTCCATGTAGACCAGGCTGGCCTCAAACTCACCGATGCTCTCCTTCCTCTGCCACTAGCTGGAATTAAAGACAGGCAACACCACACCCAACTGAGGCATTATCTTAATCTCCCAGGAACTTGGACTCAGGCCAAACTGGGGTTTGTGGCTTCCATGCAGGAAAGAATTTCGGTTTATAAAGCACAGGCAGGGATTTCATTAAAGACATTTTAATATAGACTTTAAACAGGCCAGTTAGGAGGAGAGGTGCTCAGAGGGAACACAAGACGCCCTTAAGTGTGAGCAATGGCTTTCCAAGGGAGATCCCGGGGAGTGCCTCGGCATCAGCCTCATGCACCATTTGGTGGCTCTCAAGCTCTGTCTCTAAAGGTTTCTGTGGGAAGCGTTTCCTTGACCTCTCTTTCCCCATCGACTGACTGGATGGTTTGGCGAGGGGCATGTTCCTCTACAAGTTGGAGGATGACTTGGAGAAGTGTGTTCTCCCCTGACACCATGTAGAACTCAAAAACAGAACTCAGGTCCTCAGGCTTGGTGGCAATTGTCTTTACCTACTGATATCTTTTGGATAATCAAGTTTAAGGACTAGTTCTGGTGGTGACTTGGATGAGATGATAATCTATGAGGAAAAAAACCCAGAAAGCCACTGGAGTCGGGGTTCTGGTGAGAAAAACTGCAGATTCTCAACTGGGAAGAGAGAGGCCTCGGAAGGTAACTGTGCTGAATTTGTTGGTTTGGTTTTTGGTTTTTCGAGACAGGGTTTCTCTGGATAGCCCTGGCTGTTCCATTTACCTGGAACTCACTCTGTAGACCAGGCTGGCCTTGAACTCACGGAGATCTTCCTGCCTCTGCATCCCGAGTGCTGGGTTTAAAGGTGTGCGCCACCACCGCCCAACCTGTGCTAGGATTTTAAAAAGGGATTTAGTTTTATTTTATGTGTGTGAGTGTTCTGCCTGCCTGCGTGTTAGAGCACTGTGTGTGGGTCTGGTGTCCAAGGGGGCCAGAAGAGGGCGTCAGATCCCCTGAAATTAGAGTTATGGATGATTTTGAGCTGTTGTGTGGACTCTGGGAACTGAACCTGGGTCCTCTGAAAAAAGCAGCCAATGCTGTAATCGCTGAGCCTTTTCTTCAGTTTCTATTCTTTTTTTTTTTTTAATTACTTTGATTTATTTTTGTGTGGGGGCGGGGCCCATGTATGCTATATCACATATGAGAGGGTCAGAGGACCACTTAGTGAAACTTCCCTCGACTGAATGGGTCTGGGGGTCAGACTCAGGTGCCTTCACCCAATAGGCCATTTCATCATGTTGCGGGATATTTAACTATGTAAAGATGTGTTGCCGTTTTACCTTGCCTGCCTAAGGTACCTCACTGGTCTAATAGAAAGCCGAATGGCCAATAGCGAGGGAGGAGGTACAGGCGGGACTTCTGGGAAGGGAGGGTAAAAACAGGAGAATTTAGGCTCAGAGGAAGAAAAAAAAGAGACACCAGGGAGGCACCAGGGGCCAGACAGACAGACATGGAGGAAGCAGGAAAGTAGGACAAACAGGATGACAGAAAAGGTAACAAGACCTGAGGCCAAACATAGATGACTAGAAACAGGTTAAAAAATTATTAGAGCCAGTGGGACAAGCCTAAGCTTAGGCCAAGAATTCATAATAATAATAGGTCTCCATGTCTTCATTTGGGAGCTGGCTGGTGACCCAAAGAGAGTTCCAGCTGCATCACTGCCCCAAGTTTTGTCTTCTGTGGCTTCTGTCTCACCGAGCAGAGCCATGGACCTAGTCTATCTAAGGTTCAAAAGCCTCAGTCTGTCTTGCTGAGTCAGGTGGGGACAGAGGGTCTGAGCCCGGAAACTGGGAGGTCATCACGTAAAGGCAACCAGGACAAGATGATGTCACCGAGACATTAAACCCTATATAAGGCCCAGTGGGTGCTTCCAAGCCTAGACAGCCTGAGTTCAGTCCCTGAAACCCACATGGTATAGAGAACCAAGGTGTCTTCTGACCTCCACACACAAGCCCTGGCGTGCAGGTGCTGAGATAATAAATAAAGGAATGTAGAAAAATATATAAATGCTAGGCATGGTGGTCCATTCCTTTAATCCCAGCACCTGGGAGGCAAAGGCAGGTGGATCTCTGTGATTTGGGAGCCAACCTGGTCTACATAGAGAGACCTTGTCTTAAAAAAAATAAAATAAAGTAAAATCAAATGTAAGGCAGAATCTAATAGAGATTTAATCATGGCCTGTGAGTCTTGGAGGGCAGAGGACTTGTCCCCACTGTGAGGAATATATAATCTCACTTAATAATAACATAGGCAATAGAAAATGGTAGAATCCAAGACAGAAAGCTGGACCCATCTCCACAGGCTGTCTTTAGGATGAAGAGAAGCCCACTCACTCATGCCCCAGCCTCTGTGTGGCAGACAGCCAACCACCCCAATACCCTCAGCACAGTAGTTACTTCGTCAGTATTTGGCCTCATTTCTCCGATGGTGCAGATATGGAGGACCAGAAAGGTTCAATAGCATACGGAAGGCCACCCAGCTGGGAAGCAGCAGGATCAGCTTAGGGAGTCAGTCGCGGCAGATGGTTGGTGTGATGGTAGTCTACACTGGCGGGGCAGGAAGGACACTGTGGACACCCCGAAGAAGAAGAACCAGAGTGTTTGTGCAAAAAGGAGAGCCCACGGGCTGGACCTTGACGCTGAAATCAGGTATTCTCCGGGCAGAAAACAGCACTGTGGCCACCAGGAACATGTCGGAAGAGACGGGCGGAAACAGGACAGGACAGGGAAAGGACAAGGCTGTGGCAGAGGAGAGATGGGGTTAGAGAGAGAGCAGGCCACTGTCACACAGGCTGCAGAACATGGTGTTGTCCCCACAGGGACACTGTGGCTTCCGGCGAGGGGGAAGCAGCCTGGCAGACTGGCTCTCTTCCCTTTACTGCTATCCTGCTGTGTGCACATCCGGTGATGTCTCCTCCCTCCTGACAGCATCTGTAAGGGGGGGATATAATGACCCAGCTGAAAGATGAAGGCAAAACTAACCGAGGTGTAGAAGGAAGCGCCATTCCCAAGGTCACAAGAGCATGGAGTGCTTGTAAGAACCAGAGGCTAGTTTAGAAGGCTTTCTTTCTTCCCTAAGACTCCTTTAGAGCGGGAAAGGGGAGGCAGGAAGGCCAGAAGGGCTGAGGCTAGTGCTGGATGGGAAGCCGGGAGTGGGGTAGACTCAGCTCTCCCTCCAGTGGGAGAGACTCCCCACACCCCAGAGCCTGGAGCTGGATGCCTCCCACCAGAACTATTAACATGGCCCCCAAGGACCGCTGACGTCCAAACAGCTCTGGGCTGCAGGAATTAAGGCTTCAGGGATCAAAGCTGGTGAGCACTGTGTGGGCCTCGAGCCTTTTCCTGCTGCCAGCTTCCTCCTTTCTGTTTTGGGACCGGCAACCACACCTGGTGGGAGGGGAGGGGCTGAGGAGGGTGCCCGGTATGTGAGCTACAGGGGGGTGAGGGGACCCGGAGATGGGGGATAGAGACTCAGAGAGATAGAGGAACAGAGATGAGGGAGACAGAGCCAAGACCCAGAGAGATACACAGAGCCCCCAAAGAGAGAGAGACAGACAGACAGACAGACAGACAGACAGACAGGAGAGCCTTAGAGAGCCATGGTGACTTTGGCTGATAGTGATGGTGCTCATGAGGAGGAATGGTTAGTGTTGGCATGACAGGTCGTCATCGTCGGTGTCCAGTCCTAGCTTCCCTGGAGACAGCAAATGCTGTAAGGGGCAGTGGTGCTCTTGGTGGTCACTATGACGACAGTGGCCATCGAGGTCTCCCCTGCTAAGGACACTCGGACACACATTCTGTGGCAGCGTCTTAGTCCCTCCTGGACACACCATGCCGTCGCCGTTGCCGTCTTTATTCCGTTCTAGGGTGGAGACCCCAATGCATGGCCGGCTCTGGCCTGGACTGCACATGCTCCTCTTTGCTCAGCCTCCCAAGTGCAGGGCCAGCAGCACGTGCCACCGCTACCAGCTTTGTTTTTCCAGCCCTTTGGTTTTTTCTGAATGGGTCTCCTGCATCCCAGGCTGACTTCAAAATCTCTTTGTAGCCAAGGATGACCTTGAACAAGGCTGAGCTCAAGAGTGCAGGTGTGCACCACCACACCTAGTTTGTACAAGGCTGGGGATGGAACCCAGGCCCCTGCGTGTGCTAGGCCAGCACTCCAACTGAGCTACAGCCCTCAGATTCACTGTGGAGGATGGCCTTGAACACCTGATTCTCCTGCCTCCACCTTCATGCTGACATTGGTTATTTGTTTTACCAATCTAGACATTAATTCCCTGTAGCTGTGGATCAGGTCATATAGCAGTCTATCCTTACTCCCCATTTGATGGGAAGGGAAACTGAGGCAGGCTCCAGGCAGGGAATACAGGTGCACAGCACAGGAGTAGATGGGGGCAGAACATGCCCAGGACAGGGTTGTTCACCTGCCTATAACTCCTCAGCTTTCCTGTCTCTCATCCTCTCTCTCCTCCAAGGATCCTGAGTACCCCTTCCCAAGTTTTGATCCATTTCATTTGAACTAGTCATCCTGTGATGGTAGCCGTTAGTCATATCTATATTGCACAGGTAGGGAAACTGAGGCATCACAAGCTGAGATGCTCTCCCTGAGAACACACAGGAGGTGAAAGGAGCTGACCCAGGATGAATGTTCTGAGTCCCCAGAGGAACACCCTACAGTAGCCTTCTGAGTTGTCAGTTCAGAAAGACATGTTTGCACATTAGTTATCCAATGCTTTGAAACAAGTTGTCTCGATACTTAGTACAGCCCACAGGGAGTGACTAAGTTGGAAGGTTCTGGTTCAGGGCTGGATGAGGCTACAGTCAACATTTCAGCCAGGACTATGGTCCTCTGAAGAGGTGAGGATGAGTTACTATTATGTTCTAGGCCATAGTCCCCTGGTGAGATGAGAGTGTGGTTGGCATTTCATCCAGGATTTAATCTTCTGATGGGATGAAGGTGCTGTAAACTGGAATACATCTTTCTCTGTCTCACCAGCCAGCTCCCAAATAACGACACAGAGACTTCTTATTCATTAGCTGAGCTGAGGCTTGTTTCTAACTAGCTTCTTAACTTGCTTCTGTTAATCTCGTGGCTGTCACCTCTCCTCCTGAATGTCCTGCTTCCTCTCTGTGTAGCTGGCGACTCCTCTCCCCTCTTCCCCGAGCTCTCTGTCTGGAAGTCCTGCCTATACCTCCTGCCTAGCTATTGGCCATTTAACTTTTTACCAAAACAATCACAGTAACAAATCTGCACACAGTGTAATCAAATATCTTGCAACAGTAGACAGTCCATCAAGGGATGTAGGTGCAGTCAACTGTTCTGTGAGGACTGGAGTCCTCCGACAGGATGCAGATGCCGTCAGTATTGTGCTTCGGGCTGTGTTCATCTGATGACTTACCAGGGCTGGAAGATGCCCCACCAAGACGTTGCCCTGTGGGTGCCTCAACTCACCCTGGCCTTTGGCTCGAGACCTAGGCTCCTGACCATATGGCCTTCTTCTCCGTACATAAATGCTCATGACATGGCAGGCAGCATTCCTCAGAGCATCACCTCCCAAGTGCCAGGATAACGGATGTGTGCCACCATACCTGGCTCATCGCATCCTCAGTTTTCAGTGTGCTAGAGAGTGAATCAAACTGTTTCTGATTTATTTCCATCTTTTATGGAAATGTGGAATTTTAGAATTCATCCTCTGCCATTTTGCTGATAATTTTTATATTAAATTTATTTATTTTCGGGACAGGGTTTCTCTATATAACCACCCTGACTGTCCTGGAATTCGCTCTGTAGACCAGGCTGGCCTCGAACTCAGAGATCCGCCTGCCTCTGCCTCCTGAGTGCTGGGATTAAAGTTGTGCGCCACCACTGCTCGGCTGAGACTGTCTTAAAAGGTAAAGAGAGCTGGGCACAGTGATCTTGCCAGTTATTCCAATACATAGGAAGCTGAGGCAGGAACATCTCCAGGATTTTGAGGTCAACCTGGGGCTATTTAATGAGTACATAGCCTGGGCTACAGAGTCAGACTCCTTAAAAAAAAAAAAAAAAAAAAAGGAGAGAAAGAAAAAACAAAAATGAGGATAGAAAAAGAGGTTGAGGAAGAGGAAGGAGGAGGAAAGCATACCTGTCCTTTCAACAGTTACTTAATGTCCTCACTGTGCCCACCCATCTGTATTGGCTAGCATGGCCACATGATCTCAGCCAGCTGCAAAGGAGCTCTCGAAGTCTTTATTTTCAATTAAGAAACAAGAATGGCCGGGCGGTGGCGGCACACACCTTTAATCCCAGCACTCGGGAGGCAGAGGCCTGCCTGGGCTACAGAGTGAGTTCCAGGAAAGGAAAGGCGCAAAGCTACACAGAGAAACCCTGTCTCTGAAAAAAAAAAAAAAAAAAAAAGTAAGCGGCAGCCATTATGTAACAAATTTGCCTGCTGTAGCAAAAGACAGAAAAAAACCAGTTTGCACAAGGCACAAGCTGCTGCCTCACCTGTGAACAGTTGGTAAGACCTGAGAATGGGAACCGAGGCATGGTGGCACACACCTTTAATCCTAGCACTCAGGGGGCAGAGTCAGGCTGATCTCTGAGTTCCAGGACAGCCAGAGCTACACAGTGACACCCTGTCTCAAAACCAAAACAAACAGAACTGAGCATGTTGGCCAGAGGAGCTGAGGAGGCTGAAGAGGCACTTGGGATCGTTTCTCAGCCTCTATTTGATGATCCAAGGTGGCTGTCAATTTTATGCTCTAGAGAGCAGAGGACAGAGAAGGAGGAGGGCTTTTATGGATGCACATCTGTGGCTGGAACCTAGGATCTTGTGGGTGCTGGGCAAGTACTGTACCACTGAGTCACACCCCAGCACCTCACTGCTGAGTTATACCCCCACCCTCCAACTGGGGGATGTTAGACATTTGCCTCAGAGTTTGAAATTGTCTTCCCTGCTTACTTCCTCAGAACACCGTGAAGAGTGTTAGTCTGCTTCTGGCTTTACCCAGCAAGGAAACTAAATCCAAGGGTGCCACCCTTTATCCAAAGCCACACAGCCCCCCAGAGCAAAAGCAAGCTGAAAGCACAGCCTGCTAGCTCCAGAGTTTTCCTGGTGTCGAACTATACGTGTCTCCGACTCTTTTCCAGAGTGGGGTCAACAGTGGATTGGTGCGTGCCAAAGACTCCATCACCAGCTTGAAGGAAAAGACTACGAGGGTTAACCAGCATGTTCAGACACTGCAGGTGTGACACTTGGGTCCCCGTGCCCCGCGTGTGGCCTCTTCCTCCAGAGCTAAGTTCCCACCTTGAAGCCTTCCTGCATCATAGTGCACACCCAGTCAGTCCCCCACAGGGTAAGACCCTGCTCCCCCTCTAAGCTTTCCGAACTGCCCTGTGTAACCCTGCCTCCTTCCACGGTCAAGAGCGAGTGCTCGGTGCTGAGTGAGAACCTGGAAAGGCGGCGGCAGGAGGCAGAAGAGTTGGAGGGTTACTGCAGCCAGCTGAAGGTGAGCCGCTGTGGACGGAGTGGGGGGGTGGGGGGATGAGAAGAGGAGGGCAGTGTGAGGCCCCGACCCGTGGCTCAGTGGGCAGAGCGCTTGCCTAGCATGCAGGAAGGCCCAGGTCCGGTCCTGGCATGCAGGGAGGCCCAGGCTCAGTCCTAGCATGCAGGAAGGCCCAGGCTCGGTCCTAGCATGCAGGAAGGCCCAGGCTCGGTCCTAGCATGCAGGAAGGCCCAGGCTCGGTCCTAGC